TATATAAGCAGACCCTGGACGACATCACTCATATAAAACACTTACACCTCCGGTTGGTTTAGAAACAGCCAAAATCGAGGAGGTAAAAAACATCAACAATAAACCTGTTGTCAGCCAAAACGAAGCCATTTTGGTGTTTTGTGCACAGTTCACGACCAGTAGTGCAGCTTATGACTATTCGTTGAAAAACTTGAAAAGTTGAAATACTACGCTACTAAATCATGTTGTCAAGACCTCCGGAAACAGGTAACGATTGGTGGAACATATAATTCTGTTTTCTAATTGGATGTTACCTCTACCAAATTGACAAATTGCCATAGTTTTTTCCTGTAAACACACAATAACACACAATTACGTCGAACGCAAGCCTTGACCCGCAGGCCAAGGTTATTGGGATAGTTTTACACTACGTGCAAATTAAGCTGACGCTTTTAAAGTCAAACATAATACACATCTGTCTAACAGGGCTGTACACAGTGGGTTATATATATTCAGTGGGTTGGTAACCGTATACGATTTCTTGTATCTATAGCCTGCGAACAGGCTCTTTCAAAGAGAGTTCAAAGATATATCCCATCTAACATGACGTATTTCATTCTGTGCTCAGAACAAAAAATAATTTTCGTAAACAAATGTGGAGTTTATTTTTAAAGACCTTTGCAGTAAACCATTTATGATCATTCATGTGGGACATGATTTAGTTTTGCGAGAGAGTTTCGTATAAAACATTGTGAAATATGCTTAGCAAGCTTTGGCCAAGTCGTATCTCAGTGAATAAATTGCAACGAAAACATATCGAAGAGGTATTTGTATGAAGTTACGGTGAAAGCCAACTCAGGAAAAATGATGGAATGATGGGTTAGGATGTTCTCTACGTTTTGGATATGCCAGCATTTGATAAATGCGTATCAAAACTGCTAATCATGCGCGCTTTGATGAAGATTTTTAACTGCATTTTCTTGAAGATTGAAGCTATTAAATTTGTGAATACATCAAGGAATTCATTTGTATTAAGGTGGAGGGAGGGGGTTGTTCTGCATGGTGCCCTCTCCTTTAATACCCCAGCCATAGATCATTCTACAGTATGCTCATTTCCATAGCTAATATCATCAAAAGTTCTATAAGTTAGTAAATTTTGGAGACCACTGGTTGATCTTAAAGGGGTGCTGCAGATTGCAAGGCATCAGGGGGGTGGGCCCCTGTGTTTCCCATTTGTAGATGTGGGTACGCACTCAAAAATCTCACATCTTGTAGCAAGTCTGTCAACAAGTTGTGTTTGCACCAGGGCCAGATTAACCACGTGGCAGATGCGGCATATGCCGCCAGCCTCACGCTTATGGGGCCTCGCGCTTTACTGTGCCACACCCATTTTTACGAGAACATGCCCATTTTAGGTGCCTCGCGAATTTAGGGACTTTGCGCATTTAGGGCCCCTAGGCTTGGCAGTTGGCCCAAGGAAAGTATGCAATACTTGTATGCATGTAATCTCCAGTTGCGCTGAGGCGTAAAAAAAAAATACCTGTGGTTCCGGTTTAATATCGTGAAAAAATTAGGGTCGGTAGGTCGGAAATAATTTTTTTTTTGAATATTTTTTTCATGGTTTTGGCGTTTTTTTGTTGGGCGATTTGCAGTAGAATCCCGACATCAATATTAACTAGAGATGCATATTTCCTATGGAAGAATTTAGGCAATTTGGTTCAATAATTAGTGTGGCAACAGACACCATTTTGGCACGCTATATGAGCAGCCCGCAACCACCTGGAGAAAATAGGGTTGCACAGTCAATCGCGTTGAAAAAATAATAGGGTCGGCAGAAAAAAATAGGGTCGGTCGGGAACCGAAACCACAGGTATTTTTTTTTACGCCTGAGTTGTTATATGATCCTGTTTATACTTGTTGACCCAACAACTGGGCCAAGCAGGCCATTGTCTCGTTTATAATTGATGCCAGTAATTGAAATATTGAAAACAATTATTTAACAATTGTGTGTCTTTGAATTCAAAGGTTTTCAAACGGGGGGGGTGGGGGGGCTCATGCTAAAATCTGCCACAGGCCTCGCGCAATGTTAATCCGGCCCTGGTTTGCACTGCTTGTCCCAAGTTGTCAACTAGTTTGGAACAAGTTGTTAACAACTTGTAACATGCAGTCTTGTTGATATTATCAGGCTTGTTGCAAGGTTGTTCCAACAAGTCCGATACAGTCACGATATAACAATATTGTTACAAACTCGTGTCGTCAACCTTGTAACATTCTTGTTATATCATGACTGTATCAGACTTCTTAGAACAACCTTGTAACACGTCTGATAATGTTATCAAGTTTGTTACAAGTTGTTAACAGCTTGTTCCAAACTTGTTACAACAACTGGGAACAAGCAGTGCGAACACAACTTGTCGACAGCTTGTGATTTGTGAACGGATTTGTAACAACTTGTTTGCGGACCTGTAACAACTTGTGTGTACTATGAAAATAGAAGTTTTTGCTCACCCCTGATATATTTCTTTTTTAATTGTAGGTTAATGTTCCCACCATCCAAGATGACCAACCGTATAATCCTTTCAACGAGATCCGTGTTTTAACAGGACATCAAGATATTATAAATATCATAAAGTTTATAGATGAAACAAGGTGATTATCATAAATTACATTATGTGAAATCTTCTGTTTGCTCACATTGAAACTAGTACCATGTCTTGACAACTTTACAATTTTTGTCTGGATGTATGAATTTTTCATTCCATTAGAACTTCTAAATTAAAGTATGTTCTTTTAGGTTGGCTTCGTCTGCTGATGATAATTTAGTTATCATTTGGGACTTTGAGGTACTTGCAAGTCTATATTTCCTTATTGATGTCAATTAATGCATCATAATGCACCCTCTTTTATTAATTTCTTTGTTTAACTCCAGACTGTTTTACTCCAGAAGAGAAGTCTTATTGATAAATATTAAAATCTTTTAAAATGGGATATTTCTCAAAAGGAGAGACCCTGGGAATAAGGTTAATTAACCCATTATGCAATGCTGTTGCAACAACTGTTTGCACTGCTTGTTCCCAGCTTGTTGACAAGCTTTAGCAACTTGATAAAATAACAGCATTGTTACAACTTGTTGACAAGCTTGCTACAAGCCTTTTGCGAGCACATCTTGTTGACAAGTTGTGAGATCTGCCAATGCATCTAGTAGTTAACCCATTAAATCTGCATTGAGCCCCGATGCACACTACTTTATTATTTTACTCTCGCTGTCTAATGCCAGACAATTTTACTCGTCAAGGGGAAAGCACCAGCAATAAACAGGTTAATTTTATCTTTGTTGTGTATATCATATGTTATTTTTATGTATTTGATAATTAAGAATGGTGATCAACTACACAGCCTGCAAGGTCACACCAGACCTGTCACATCAATACTGGTTCATGAAAAAACTGGATTCAAACATCAAGATTCTTGTCCAGTTTTAATAACTGCATCATCTGATAAAACTATTAGAATATCCTTTTCGTACACCTCTCATTTCAACAAACAGTTCTCTTCTTTTGTATAAGAAGGAAGTGTAGTTTTTCTTTCTTTATTTTATTTATTTATCTTTTCTTCCCATCTTACACCCATTATTTTTTCTTCTTATCTGCCATTTCATACCTTCCATAATTTCTTTCCCCTATTGCTTTCTTCTTTCCATTTCATTATTTCCACCATTTCTTGCCTGTATATTTAGTTTTTTTGCAGATAGCCCAAAAAAGTTTCAGTTAGCCCTGCGTGGTCCAAACTAACCTGAAGTTCAGGCCCTATCACAGAATAGGGCCTGACACAAAACCTATCTAAAGTGTGGGATTCCCGTCCACCTGGTGGACGGGAAATCTGATTGGTTGATCAGCATCATGAAGGATTTTGATTGGTTGCAAGTTCACATAAACAACAGTTTTAAAAATAGCTCGGTCAAAGGCGAGAATTAATATAAAGGTCAAACGCACGTAACAAATTCCATTATCGATTTCTTCGAATTTCTTTTCTTTTATGCTTTATGGCAGAAAATAAATCAAACAAACAGTATTTTGAAAGGGCTTCATCAAAATCTTTGACGAATTTGGACACACACGACGCTGAAAGAACAGCCAAACTATAGTCATGTATTCGAAAGCTTGTTGTTGACAGCCAAGATGTTCTGCCAACTTGCTTCGCCGGCAAAAGTCTTATTTTTAATATCAGGTCCTACCGTCGTAATTGTTTTCTGAGCTGTTATTAGCCCGTTAGTCGTTAGAGTATATCCGCGTCCAGCAAGTTGAGACCTTGAGAAAGCTTGGCAGTCAAGTCGTGCACAGAACTGACTAATTAAATCTTTGTTTGCTGTTCGCTTGTTCGGTTAAATAGAGAAACTGACTCTTAATTATATAAAAGTACCTTGAATTTTTAAGTTTAATTAAAAAGCAAAATGCTCTGCGGACATGTTCATGAGAATATAAATTTTTTGTGCAATGAAATCTACAACAGTTGTCAATCATATTGCATGTGTGTCTAAAAATAACATGTGGGCGTCCCACGGTCTAGACAGGTTTTGTGTCAGGCCCTATTTCAACTTAGGGCCTGAACTTCAGGTTAGGTCCAAACTTGCTCGCTTTGCTTGAAGCTTGCAAGGGTAGTTCTGGCAAGCTTCTGAAAGGTGGTTTTGGCATTTTGGCACTTGAAAACGGAGTTCTGGCTTTTGAAAACGGAGTTCTGGCATTTGAAAAGCGTAGTTTTGGCATTTGTAAAGGGAGTTTTGGCATTTGAAAATGGGGTTCTGGTATTTGAAAATGGAGTTTTGGTTTTGGCATTTGAAAAGGGAGTTCTTGAAATTTTCTACCTTACTTAAGCATGCATAAGACCTTCTGACCAAGGATTGCAGTTAGCTTCAGGCACTTGCAGGTAGCGCCGCTACCTAGGATCCCAACATCTGACAGGACTTTTCTTTCATTCTTTTAATCCATTCCTTCATACACATTTTTCCATTTCATTCCTTTATTTCTTCACTTTCCATTTTCTCCATCTCTTTTTTGCACCTTCTATATTCATCCTACTCCTTCTTTCATTCTTACTCTTCCTTCCATCATTCCTTTCCATTCCCCTTTTCTTTCATTCTTTCAATCCATTCCTTCCCTCACACCTTCACATTATTTCCTTCCTCTATCGCTTTCTTTCCATTTCATTCCTCTGTTCCTTCTCTTTCCATTTCAGCATTTCTTGATCATTCCACCTTCTGTCCTTCTATTCCATGTTCCTCCTTCATTCTTCCTTTCCATCCTTTCATTTATTTCTTTCATTTCATCCGATCCGTTTCTTTATTCATCCCACTGTTATTTCATTTTCCCCTTCATTACATTTCCTTCCTGTTCTTGTTTTCGTTTTCCCTTTTTTTTCAATGTTAATTCGTTATCTTCTATTTTCATTGAATTCATTGAATTTCATTCCATTACTTTTTCATTCTTTTCATTATTTATCCATTTCATTTCCCCCCATCCTGTCATTCTATTCTGTCCATCCATTTCATTT